TTTTGGCTTGTTTGTGTACACATGCTATTTCCTATTTTATGGTACGTTGTGGTCTGGCTGATTGGTATATAAATAGAGTATGTTTGAAATACATATATTCATATTGCGGAAGCTAGTATTGCGTTTTACTTGGACTCAAGCAGACGGGCTAGAGGGACCTCGTACCAGCCAGGCGCCGGTTGAACGTCATTGGTTGGCATAGAGTGAAGATTTGTATAAGTCGTATTCTGATTGGTGGATAATTCGTGTGGTAGAAAGGTCAGACATCAAGGTTATAACAGTCACACCATCCACAAACTATTTATTTCATTATGATCCAATCGTATTGATGCTAATGAAATATGTGTCCTACGCACTTCACACGTATTCCGTCGATAAATCCCGTTAATAATAACGTAGATATAAAAAGTCGAGTACAAAAGTATTTGAGGTGTCTATATTTCAGACATTCAGTAATGCAGTCGAACGATAAGATACGAAGAAAATGCATGTAAACAGGAAAGGCAGAAATAAACAACTCTAAGTGACAATGTTTATAAACACGAGAGAAATACAAGTAAATACACCAACACAAACGTACTATCATACCCGTAAAATGCATGATCAAGCTTAAGCTTGTGTAGTTGGCGGGATCATATGTGAGCAATAAGATAAATGGAAAGATGAGATTAATTTGTCGATCCAAAAGTTAGGATAAATTAAATTGGGTGTGCGATGAAATAGAAGCTCCTATAACTTGATAGAGAACTTCCTCACATGGAAGGTTAAAGTGGTCTTGATAGCACATTTGTTCAGTATTAAAATTTCACATCACCTTTTATACTGTACTGCATTTGACTGAAAGCAGAACATTTAATCCGCTTTGCGAGATTGTTTTCAGAATGCAGTGATTCATTTAGTGAACTTTTATCATGCAGTGAAAAGATTTAAATTGATATCATGAATGGATAAATATTAGACCACCATTGAAAACCTGGAAGCACAGGACGACCGTTTGATCCTAGTATGGGACGAATACTTAGTCATCATCTGTAGTGACCTAACTTTATCAAGAGAACGCGATTGGTTTAATGGAAACAATTATTATTATAACCAATTGTACCAATGATTGTTTTACTGTACTTGTTTGTTTGACTGTACTAAAGGCATACTTTCTTCCGTTGATTGTGACCTTGCACGAATTCGGTTACGCTCAGTAATCACACTTTTAACCTGGCACGATCTCGGTATTCTTTTGATATCATGAGATCGTTAACAAATACATCTCAACTACAGCCACCAACTGCCTTCTGGTATTTGGACTACGGATGGATCTTATCGGTTAACTGGCACGTAGTCTTCCTGTAGTGGTGATCATAGTGAACCGCGACTCGACGCCACACTACACATCTTGATGAACATGAGCAACTTCCGATAGTCATGTTTCTAGTTCAACTGACTGAAGATAAGTATGAATTCCCTCGTAACCTTTTTTACAAACACTCGAACGATTGGAAATTAGTAAAACTCAGATCATTTATTACTATTTTAACCCAAGTATTCATTATTGTTTTAATTTCTCATCGTATGTATCAATTTATTATGGGAAAAGAAAAATGGCCTTGATACATTTTCATGCATTGTAGCAACTGAATTCGCCTGATGGTTGAGTATACAATAAATAAAGGGGTCTACTTTTAAACGGATCAATATACTATATTCCACACAGTGCACTAGTTTATTCTTTTTTAAAGTTGAGCATACTTTCTGACTGATGTAAATATACAAATAGCTTCATATGGGGAATAGAGGTTAGGGAATTAAGACAGTTGAAAATTTAGCAGACAATAAAATTATATTATTTGATCCAAATACACATAACCATATTAAACGATGAATTTGTATTCATATCAAATTAATGAATATTAAAGGAATTTTTCAAATTTCATATTGGCTTCACCTCAGAGTTTTAATGCTAATTTAATTCACTGAACAGTTACATCATCAAATTAAATAAATGAATTGACGGGACGAAAGGAAAAGCGGTAAACAGCTAGGGTGTTTAACCACTATGAAATCACGAGTTTCGTAATTATGAAATGTTGGTTGTCAAATGTCGACTTTTGGTGGAGTTTTGTTCTCTGAGCTGGATGGCTTGATTGTAGGGATTTCGTCGTTATTCTGGACGACATCACCAGTGAATTGTTCGAATTTCTCCTCATATGGCTCACAGATTGTCCTGTAGACCTCAATCTTGATTGGTTATTGCTAACCTTTAACCTGACATTGTTAACTTCTTTATTTTGATTGTATCTCCCATCCAGCTCAGAGAACAAAACTCCATCAAAATCATCCACCTGAGCTACAAATCTTTTTTTACCATCTCACAAAGATGACGAAAACACTGCAGTTGAAGGGTTTCTACTCATCTAACTAACTAATTTTTCAAAGAATGTTATTGATTTAAAATCGAAATAGATCGAGTTCTACTGAAATATATACTGATTGGTAAAAGCAGTCATTTGTGCATAGGCCACTACGTTTTTATAAAAGTGGCAAACAACACATAACATTTTAACAACATTTATTAGATAGAAAGATAAACATAGTGAGCGACGGTCATGATGTTTTTTTTTAATACTATGCACTCATTTAATTAGTTACGAGAACTTATTGTTTAACGCTCCACTAAATACATGTAAGAAGTTGGGTGAGAAAATGTTACTGAAACTGAATCCCATTCCTGTTTTGAATAAAAACAAAAATGTCTAATTCATTTTGGATATTTTAATGAAGGAGCCAGAATTTAAATTTGTGTACAGAACAAATCTATGTAAAGAATAAAATATTCTAACTGAAAATTGATCGTACATATATTCAGCTGAATGAAACAAAAACAACAATAAAATTGGTTATTAGTAAAACAAAATCACATTTAGTCATTTCTTCCTCTTTTTACGGGCATATACATATCGACATAACAATAATTACTTATTTAATTACTCTTGTTAAACCTTGTGGAGGAGCACAGACCGCTCACCAACATTCCACATCCAACTCTGTCCTGGGCAATTCTTTCCAGTTGCTATTCATCCATTTCCTGTCTGCTCCCAAGTTCTGACGTATTGTGTCCTTAGGCCTTCCCCTTCAGGATTCCAAATTAGGGCTTGCCTTGTGGTGCAGATTGGTGATTTCCATAATGTATGTCCTATCCACTTCCAACGTCTTCTCTTAATTTCCCGTTCAGATGGAAGATGGTTTGTCCTCTCCCACAGTAGGCTGTTGCTGACTGTATCCGACCAACGAACATTGAGTATCTTGAGTAGACAACTGTTTATAAATACTTGTACCTTTTTGATGATGGTTGTAGTAGTTCTCCAAGTTTCAGCTCCGTACAGTAGGACTATTTTGACGTCCGTATTGAAGATATTCACTTTGATATTGGTTGACATTTGTTTTGAGTTCCATATCTTCTTCAATTGCAGGAATGAGGCTCTTGCTTTGGCGATCCTTGCGTTTACGTCTGCATCAGATCTTCCTTGTTCATCGATGATGCTCCCCAGGTACGTGAAAGATTCCACATCTTCCAGAGCTTGTCCATGAAGTGTGATTGTGTTGATGTTCTTCGTACTGTATTTGAGGATCTTGCTTTTTCCCTTGTCTATGTTGAGGGCTCATGATGCAGAGGCTTCTGCTAGACTAGTTGTCTTCATCTTTATTTGTTCATGTGTACGGTTATAGATGGGCCATGTCATCTGCGAAGTCCAAATCTTCTAATCGATTCCGAACGGTCCATTGTATTCCGTGCTTTCTACAACAATAATTACTTCGGTTGAATTTCGCTATGCAAAAGAGGATTAGTGAAAAAATAACTTATTCATTGAAACAATGTAAATGGAGAACAAATTTCAAATAAACCGCACTCATTATTCACATCAATGTGGAACAGACTGAATTCACTGAAAGTGAAACCATTTTTCTCCTGAGAAAAAAATTGCATCAAAATGGTTAATATCGAAATAGAAACATTTGTTCAGAGATAACAATTGGAAAGATTTAAAGTGAACTGATATTTTTAAAACTAATGAATAATTCGACAGCAGTTTTATGGGTAATATCAACTTTGTGGCGTCATACAGTCACAAAAATATTAAAAGAAATAATTTTGGATTTTCAAAGAAGAAATGTCTTGACTTCATTTGTGATATTATCGTTAAGGCGGTGAGGAAAATTGGTAAATGTTGTATGCGTTTGCTAAAATTGTGCTTTTTGAATTAATTGGTCTAACTCCGATGATGTTCAGAATAACGATGAAAGCTTCACGACCAAACCATCCAGCTCCGAGAACAAAACTCCACCTGAGCTACAAACCTTTACCATCTCAATGTCGACTGTTTTTTTTTAAATTTTCACTAATGGAAATTAACCAATTGTTAAAAGTCACATTGAGATACATCAGTCTATAAATATGCCCAGGTTGCACGAATTGTCGCATAACTATTCTCAAGACATACTTAACCAAGTGGCTTACTCAAATTACATGCTTCTCTATATCAGTTGGTAAATATCACGTAAGAATAATAAATTTTCTGAAACGCATAAACCAACCCGAGATTTATAGGTGAATTTTGTCCCACAGTTTTTGTAGTCGAGTTAAACTTGACCACAAAGGTGAATTTAATTCTAAACATTTGGTAGTAAAAGAGTAGGTTCACAAACCCACAAACTTTAATAGCCAATAGCCTTGACGGATTTACTGTTCTTATTCTCATCCTCTGACCCAAATAATATTTTAACCAATTAAAATAGAGAAACCAGAAATAAAGGTGGAATTACACGACTGATCAAAAATACAATTTTGCATTTCCGTTTCTATTTGGCTACATTTTGGTGACCTTGTAAGGAGGATTAAACTACTTGTGTGACTGTCTAATCAGATTAGTCATAAAGCGTCCACAAATCATGTTCTATCTTGTTTTCATTTTTGTCCTAGCTGATGAGCTCATTGCTGTTATGCACACAAGATTATTTGAAATGCACCCGTTTCTTCCTATTCGTTCACTCTTCAAGTTGTTTTACATTACATCTGCTTTCTGCACTCTATTCAGACCCGATGTTTTCCGGTTCAATCATGATGATGTAGTTTGTGAGGGAGATCACTATTTATTTAACTGTGAACTCAGTGAATATTTAGCTGATGGAGTATTGGGGATTTACAAGCTGGAAAATGAATTTATCCCTGCTAATTTGAGTGCCCGAGAGAAAGAGGTGGCAGAAATTTTCAAAAAGGATCCCTATCCCAATTTGGTCATATGGTCTCTAAGAGAGATTTTCGAAGAACACGGAGTTCATAAATGGGTAAGTACCTGATGTGAAGAAGTGTTGGGAGTATCTAGTCTATTAAAATATATATCACCATTATGGTTCACTTTAATTAATTTCAGGATTAATAGTGTTTTTCGATTCAAAATTTTGGGATTTGGTTTCTAGAGACCTGGAAATAGTCTTTATTCTAATAAATAGTGAAATCAATAAGAGGTTTCCTCAAACACGGGAACATGAAGAACGATAATGACCTGGATTCTTTTACCAGGTCAAGATGGTTCAAGCTTTTCCAATTACTTTGAATTATCCACCAAGCGGCTGGATTTCCTCATTAAATTCTTTTGTTGTAATCACAACACTTCAAGCTTATGTGTAACAGTTGAATAAAAAACATTATCTCTGCGATGCCAACAATATAAGAGGCTAATGACTACTCACATAGTATCTACAAGTATGACAGTAACAGGCGACCATCAAGATTGACGAATTATTGAGGTAAACTAGTGTTGCCAAATCCTGTCACAAAGTTATAATTTTTGAGATGGCATCTGACCTATTAAGGAAGTTGGAACTGTGACTAATTTCTTTTTCTTTTTATAATTATAGCATGTCTCAAATTAACAATACTTACGTACCGTCTAACAATTCACATGGTTTCGGTCTCGCTTCATTGTTGATGATAAGTAGACTAGAGCACCCTTTTGTGTTTTGACGTTTGTGGTCTTATATCCTTTAGTGACTGTGAAATTATTGAAAAATACGTTATCCCTATTTCTCATTAATGTGCTGGAAACGAGGCAATAATTAACCATTAGGAATATTAGGAAAATAAGTTGGTTACAAATATGAGGGATTTCAGTATTGGTCACGCCCCACAGTCAGGAGAATTCTTACGTCTTATTATAATCGCTTTCCAATATTTAGCGTTTTGGTTCAAGTAAGTGGCCGTACGTTATTGTATGCAAGCAAACAGTCATACAATTGGCTTATTGATATGTTACACATTATCTAGAGTGTGGTACCAGATTACCTAAAACACTTCCTTAGACTAAGAATGCGTAGTACTAGGCGTAATCTGTATGTTTAAACTACTGAGTACCACGTTAATACAGATTGAGTCTTATTCACTTGATAATTTTAATTTACAATCAGTAGTAGCTACTATATTTTATCAAGTGCTTGTCAAGTGCTACCTTCTTACTATAGCTAATAGGAGAGTCCATTCTTGAATAAAGTGACTTTAGTTCTCATGTAAGATAACCTTCGGAAACCCAATACTCATCATGAAGAAAATGCAATATTCTTCGTCCTGACAAGCTGACGCAAGTATACCACTCCGCCATAAACTGTATTCCACAGCTACGTAGTGATCGATAGGTAGGACTTTTAAATCTAAATTCCTTAACGTCCAGATAACAACGTCTGAAAATGAGCAGTTACCCAGTTTGTAAATGTGCTTTCACTTCCCGAAATTCTCGCTTGTCTGAAAGGAGCACGATGTGGTAACGGTAACAAGAAGTTATTTTTGTTAATTATGTATATATTTGAAAACAATTCTTTCGTATTCATTACGTTTTTGATAGATATGAAGTAAAGTGATTATATTAGGCTTAATGATGGAGTCTATCAGAGAACAAAATCCAATCTGGTTCTACATTCCTGAAATAACTACAACTACCATAATAGACAGTAATAACTACTGAATACACTCCAGTCTCATTGTCTTAATTTTAACATGTGCTTACTGATTTATCAAATCTCTTTAATTTCGAGAACGTTTAACCGTTATCATCGGTATTTGTCTCCACAGTGATTTTTATCGTCTTATCGGTAAATTACTTTCGTAGTCACTAGACTGAAGGCTTTTTCAATGTGAAAAAAACTATTATTTTATAAAGACTTTCGTAGGAAAATTGTCTCAGTACTATTCATATTGTTTTGGGAGAGTTCTTCGTAATACACCGTTGGTTTGGTACTTTTGACTATGATGTAAGGTATGGAACATTTCATATGAATAGTTCCACAGTAGTTGGGCACCAAGTTAATGTAAGGCATTAAGATGATTATATTAGTAAAAACCTTAGCGTTTGTTCAATCGAATAGTCTTATCCTACCAGTATTTTCGTGACTGAAATATTCCGTTGGTAAAATAATTCGCTGTAAATATTTTTAGTTTTATTTCTCTAATGAGGTTAAATGACGTTTCAAAATCTAGAGTACTATCTTTGAAATAACTATTTTGAAATAATAACCAGAATACTAATATTCTGCTTCTCATGGTACCACATTAGACATAGTCTCCGTATTCTAGGACAAATACAAGTTAGGTTTCAAGATAAGTGGGAGCCGTTTTTTTCTATCTTACTAAAAGGATGTTTCGGATGATCACACCTTTGATAACCTGGTATCTTTTCTATAACGGTAAAGTTTCGGAATACAATAACCAAGGTGATTATATTCATGATTTATTGCATTGAAATGTTTTAGTATATATAGAGTTTCTAACCTTTATATATTGATATGGATCACTATATCTTACACATTATATCTTACTACAAGTGTAAGATATAGACCTCCAATCAACTGCCCATTAGGATGGAAAATAGCTGAGCAAAGTGGAAGAGATATGGATCACTCTTAAGTTATTTCCTTTAGTTATTCGGTTTCATCCTGCTTTCTCCCCTTTTGAAAGGCATAGAATACATCTTACCGTTATGTGAATATGAGCTTGTTTATTGCTCTGAGCTGGATTGGTTTCTATTCATTCGGTCTGATAAGTCATACATTTGCTAATTACTCGACATTATCTTGTACACATTGTAACTATCGGGTTCAAACCCCGCTGTGTTTAATTTCGCTTAGGAAGCTGTGTAGTAGTATCTTTAATTCTCACAAAGTGCAGTTCAGATCTAAGTATGTGATCTTGTGCTTGGCATATGGTTTGCGTCACGATCGGTTAAACATTCTTTGCAGGCTGTGTCTGATACATTGGATACATACAGTAGTTTCCACGCTTGTCAACGTGAACCTGTATTTTTGTGTCTACATACTACTATACTAGTGTAAACTTAGTATTCAGTCAGTCAGCTAGCTACAATGTAGGACCAGGCACATATTGCGTCCAAGCTATTGGCTTCCGTCATACTTCGTAGGTTGTTCAAAACCCGAGAAAGATTGACTCGCGAGGAGCAGGCTGGGTTTCGTTCTGGTCGAGGATGTATTGATCATATCTTCACCCTCCGCCAAATGTTAGAACACCGCCATACTTTTCAAAGGCCAACAATCGTAGTGTTTCTTGACATTAGGGTTGCCTTCGATTCGTTGGACAGGACTGTTCTCTGGGATTGTCTATTGAAGAAGGGTGTGTCTGAGAAGTTTATTAACATCCTAAAAGCCCTATATACAAACACCTCAGGCAGAGTGAGGGCATACAACCACCTCTCTCCATTGTTCTATTCGAGCAGTGGGGTTAGGCAGGGTTGCCCAATCTCACCATTCCTCTTCAACTTTGCCATCGACGACATTCTGGAAACAGCTCTGATGAATGTAAGTAATGGTGGTGTGGATCTGTTGCCTGGAGAAAGACTTCTTGACCTTGATTGTGCGGACGATACTGTCTTACTGTGCGATAATGCCCAAGGCATGCAATCCGCACTTAATCAGTTGGCAATCAGTGTCCGTAGGTATGGTATGTGCTTTGCACCTTCGAAGTGCAAAGTGCTCCTACAAGACTGGCAGGATTCCAATCCTGTACTCAGCCTGGATGGTGAGCAGATAGACGTAGTCGAGAAGTTCGTGTATCTGGGTAGCTGCATAAGTGCTGGTGGGGGTGTGAGTGATGAGATCAATGCACGTATAGTGAAAGCCAGAGCGGCTTATGCCAATCTGGGCCATCTTTGGCGCCTTCATGATGTTGGTTCGGCTGTAAAATGTCGGATCTACAACGCGTCCGTGAGAGCAATTTTGCTCTACGCTTGTGAAACCTGGTCTCTCCGAGTTGAGGACGTTAGACGACTCTCTGTGTTCGATCATCGCTGTCTCCGAAGGATTGCTGACATCCAGTGGCAACATCATGTCAGTAATGCAGAGGTTCGGCATCGTGTGTTCGGGCACAGAGACGATAATGCAATTCGTGTCACCATCTTGAAACACCGACTTCGGTGGCTTGGACATGTTCTCCGAATGTCGTCCCAGAGAAGTCCACGTCGTGCATTATTTGCCGACTCTGGGACTGGTTGGAAGAAGCGGAGAGGTGGTCAGTGTATGACATGGTGTCGTGGCATGAAAAAAAGCTACAAAGGACTGGCTTCTGTTGGTTCTTCACGACTCCCTGGTTGGGGTCTGAGAGATGGTGCTACACAGTGGCTAGAGACGTTATCAGATATGGCTCAGAATAGAAGCCAGTGGCGATCCTGCTGTAACCTTCTTTTACTTTCTTCATAAAAAGTGGTTCTGTCTCCCCTACCTGAAAGATTTCTTCCGATTGTACCTTTGCGTTCCCTGATTACTAGCACATTACCTTACACCAATCTCTTCGTTATTGTTCTCTTATTTTTTTGTTGCGCTCCTTAGCTTTTTTTTTTGTACTTCTCTTCGAATTTTCATTGTTTTGTGTGGCGCATATATATTGGCGCTCTCTTGTACCAATATTCATGTGTCCAAATAAATAAATAAGGCACATATATGCATCGGTCCAAGTTGCCATACCACATTAACACAACATGAAGGACACCGGATTCATAAAAGTAGTTAATTCAGAGGTTACAATAAGGATATAGTACAGGAAGAAAGGATTAGTTCGTGAACGTGATCAAGTTAGCTAAGTTGTTTATCATAAGATGGGAAAAACTTTCCAAGTTACCAGATAAAATAAGTAGCAGTTTCTTGAGTTGTATTGATAATCCTAAGCTCCTTGGTTTTAGTGCCTCATCAAAGAACTACGTTACAACGTGAGTACAAAAAGGGTAATTTCAATTACAATATTCCAAGTGGTAGAATGAAGTTGACAGAGTATCTGTTATTAATTAGCACTTTGCAATTGGTCCATTCAGATGATGATCAGAATGTTTTCTATAGTCATATATTTTCTAATTGAATATTATTCAACTATTTGCATTCATGTACATCTTAAATTTACAGGCATTGTAAATTATATCACAGTTTACAAGATCTATTTATTTATTGTCAGTAATTTACTTTATTGATTATCACTTTAATTGATCAAATTATTAATTTCCAGAATCAAACTTACGATCGAGATCACAAAACATTTAAATATAGATATGGACCATTGACTCAAAATGATTCTGGACTTTATTATTGTCGTTTTATTATTCCTGGTGAATATTCGACTTTAATGTCGACTTACATGAAACTTGAAGTTAATATGAAGTGTCCTAAACGTAAGAATATTTTAATATATCAGAAGTCTATTATGATTTGGTTCCATTTAGTGATATTTAATGAATTTAATGCCAGTCTTCACTTGAAGTTCATCCCACCGGGAAGAAACTTTAAAAAATCAGATGTTACTTCGGGATCGTTTTTTTTTATATTTTCATGCATTTTAATATTTCATGCTACTAATCTGTTGTGTAGAAGAGGTTTAAATGATAAGTTGACTTCCTAATACTCCTCAATTTCCAATAGAGTATCGATCTGTGGTAATAATAGATTTGAAATATGCTGTTGACTTGCACAGGGAATTTACTTCTACACAATATCCTTGACAACTCCGCCTGTAGCTCTTCTAGAGTTACTGCCGGTCCCAAGCCCGGGTAAAGGAGGAGGGTTGGTCATGGGGTTAGCGTCCCCATCCCGTAGAAAACTAACTCGCTAAAAAAACGCTTACCAGGAAAAATAATTCAAACCATTTTAACTCTGCCCTGAGAGTTAGAAGGTCTTCATTTAGAAGAATTATGACGCTTCATGGTGAAAGCCGAATTCCTTCGGAAGCCACGAGGCCGATGCCCCTTCTAACAACCAGAGCAAAAATTTTTATAGGTACATGGAACGTTCGAACAATGTGGGAAACCGGGAAGACCAGCCAAATAGCAACGGAAATGAGGAGATACAACTTGGCAGTACTGGGAATCAGCGAAACCCACTGGACCCAAGCTGGACAGAAAAGGCTAGCTACGGGAGAGATGCTGCTATACTCCGGTCACGAAGAGGAAAATGCTCCACACACTCAGGGAGTTGCTCTAATGCTGTCCAAAGTAGCACGAACTGCACTTGTAGGATGGGAATCCCACGGATCCAGAATCATCAAAGCATCATTCAAAACAAAGAAGGAGGGGATCTTAATGAATATTATCCAATGTTATGCACCCACCAATGATAGCAACGACGACATTAAAGATCAATTCTACGAGCGGCTGCAGTCAATCATAGAGAAATGCTCAAGAAAGGACCTCACCATTCTGATGGGAGATCTAAATGCCAAAGTCGGAATAGACAACACTGGATATGAAGATATTATGGGACGACATGGACTGGGAGAGAGGAACGAAAATGGAGAAAGATTTGCAAATTTGTGTGCACTCAACAAATTAGTCATAGGAGGCACAATATTTCCACACAAACGTATACACAAGGCTACATGGATCTCACCGGACCACACTACAGAGAACCAGATAGACCATATTTGCATCAACAAAAAATTCCGAAGGACAATGGAAGATGTGGGAACCAGGAGAGGAGCTGACGTAGCTTCAGATCACCACCTAGTTGTAGCCAATTTAAAACTGAAGCTAAAAAAGTACTGGACAAGTGGACAAACAGCACTACAAAGGTTCAATACAGCCTTTCTTCGAGATACTGTCAAACTCAATGAATTCAAGATAGCTCTCAACAACAGGTTCCAAGCCTTACAAGATCTACTGAAGGAAGAAGAAACTACCATGGAGGACAACTGGAAAGGCATCAAAGAAACATTGACTTCAACGTGTCAAGAGGTTCTGGGCCTAAAGAAACACCATCATAAGGAATGGATCTCTATAGAAACACTGGACAAGATCAAAGAAAGGAAGAACAAGAAGACAGCAATTAACAACAGCCGAACACGAGCAGAGAAAGTCCAAGCACAAGCTGAATACATAGAAGCAAACAAGCAAGTGAAGAGGAGCATTAGAGCCGACAGGAAGAAATACGTGGAAGAATTAGCAACGACGGCAAAAAAAGCTGCTAGAGGAAATATGAAACAGCTTTACGATACAACGAAGAAACTATCAGGGAAATACAGTAAACCAGAGAGGCCTGTCAAAGACAAAGAAGGCAAGCCAATCACTGAAATTCAACAACAGCGAAACAGATGGGTAGAATACTTCGAGGAACTCCTGAATAGGCCGGCTCCAATGAATCCACCGAACATCGAAGCAGCACACACAGATCTTCCTATAGATGTCAACCCACCAACGACGGAAGAAATTAGAATGGCCGTCAGACAAATCAAGAACGGGAAAGCAGCAGGGCCCGACAACATACCAGCTGAAGCACTGAAATCAGACGTCGAAGTAACCACAAGCATGCTTTACCCTCTATTCAAAAAGATTTGGGAGGAGGAACAAGTGCCAATGGACTGGAAAGAAGGACACCTCATCAAGATTCCAAAGAAAGGAGATCTGAGCAAATGTGAAAACTACAGAGGCATTACACTACTGTCAATACCAGGGAAAGTCTTCAACAGAGTGTTGCTGAACCGGATGAAGGATGCAGTAGATGCCCAACTTCGAGATCAACAAGCTGGATTCCGAAAGGATCGGTCGTGCACAGACCAAATTGCAACACTACGGATCATCGTCGAACAATCAGTTGAGTGGAACTCGTCACTATACATCAACCTCATTGATTATGAAAAGGCATTCGACAGTGTAGATAGGAGGACATTATGGAAACTTCTTCGACACTACGGAGTTCCTGAGAAGATTGTCAATATTATCCGGAACTCATACGACGGACTACAGTGCAAAGTAGTGCATGGAGGACAGCTGACAGATGCATTCCAAGTAAGGACCGGAGTCAGACAAGGCTGTTTACTCTCTCCCTTCCTCTTTCTTCTGGTGGTCGACTGGATTATGAAGACCTCGACATCTGAAGGAAAACACGGAATACAATGGACAGCTCAGAACCAATTAGACGATTTGGACTTCGCAGATGACCTAGCCCTCCTATCACGTACACACGAACAGATGCAGATGAAGACAGCCAGTGTAGCAGCAGTCTCTGCATCAGTAGGCCTCAGTATACACAAAGGGAAAACGAAGGTCCTCAAATTCAAAGCGGAGAACAGCAATCCAATCACACTTGATGGCGAAACTCTGGAAGATGTAGAGTCCTTCACATACCTGGGAAGCATCATCGATGAACAAGGAGGATCCGATGCAGACGTAAAGGCGAGGATTGGCAAAGCAAGGGCCACATTCCTACAATTGAAGAACATATGGAACTCAAAACAACTTTCAACCAATATCAAAGTAAGAATCTTCAATACGAACGTCAAGGCAATTCTACTGTATGGAGCTGAAACTTGGAGAACTACAACAACCACAATCAAGAAAATACAAGTATTTATAAATAGCTGTCTACGCAAGATACTCAACATCCATTGGCCGGATACCATCAGCAATAGCCTTCTGCGGGAGAGAACAAACCAACTTCCAGCTGAAGAGGAAATTAGGAAAAGACGATGGAAATGGATAGGACATACATTACGCAAATCGTCAAACTGCATCACGAGGTAAGCTCTAACTTGGAATCCTGAAGGGAAGCGGAAAAGAGGAAGGCCAAAGAACACATTACGTCGGATAATAGAAGCAGATATGAAAAGGATGAATTACAACTGGAAGGAGCTGGAAAGGATTGCCCAGGACAGGGTTGGATGGAGAATGCTGGTGAGCGACCTATGCTCCTTCACGAGAAGTAACAGGTGTAAGTAAGTAAAGTAAAAACAATATCCTTGACGCCCTGTATCTTCTTTTCATAGGAAATAAATATTTAGAACATCGTTTAGTAATTAGAATTCAATACTACACTGTATTTTTCAGGGTGAAAAGAATTTTTAAAATAAATAAAATCCATTAGAGACGGAATTTTTCTGGATTAAGATAAAGCTTTTTGACAGAATACTATTAAAAGTATCGTTTTCTGGTTGAGCAAAATAGAGCCCTCTGGGTTTTATAATGATGATAATGGATGCCTCTAGTTGAATCGATGAATAGAATCTTAGTGGATGAATGATGTACAATCATACAGTGTAATTGGCTGACAAGTGCTTACAAAGCCGAATCATTGATGTAAACATTCGGACTCAGTCAGTCAGTCAGTCAGTCAGCTACAACGTAGGACCAGGCACATATGTGCATCGGTCCAGGTTGCCATACCTCATTAGCACAGCAAGATGAACAGCGGATTCATAGGAGTGGTTAGGTCAAAGGATGCAATTAGGATATAGTATAGGAAGAAAAAATTAGTTCGTAAACTGAAAGAATGAAGTGATTTTAGTCTCTTAGTTTAAGGGAAGACAGAGAGTGTATACACCGACGCCATTGTGATCGATTCTGAGCCATGTCACCAAGAGTCTCCAACCATTGGTTACGAAAGTCACGCGGACCCCAACCAAGTAGTCTGCATCTACCAACATAGCTCAGACTAGAAGTTAGTGACTTCAGGCACTGATGCCACGTTTTGATTTGGCCGCCCCTAACTTTCTTCCAACCATCCCCTACACCGGTTAGCATTGCACGTCGTGGTAATCGGTGTTCAGGCATACGTAATACGTGGCCCAACCATCTCAGTCGATGAAGATTCATAACCTCATCAACTGATTTACCATCATTACCTAATACTCTGCGTCTAACCTCACTATTACTTACCCGGTGATCCCAGCAGATGCCAGCAATATTTCTAAGGCATCTGTGGTCAAATACTAGTAGCTTACGGGTGTCTTCTACTCTTAAGGGGCATGTTTCGCTACCGTAAATTAAAACAGAACGGACTGCCGCGCAGTATACTCGTCTTTTTATTGATAGACGGATATCTCGCCTTCGCCGTAGGTGACGTATGTTGGCAAAAGCCAAACGAGCTTTTCGAATCCGTGCTGAGATTTCGTCAGACACCAACCCATTAGGGCTGATCAGACTTCCAAGATAAGTGAAGTTGTCAACGCGTTCAACTACTTCACTCCCTATCCTTAGTTCAGGTGTTGACGCAGACCAGTCCTGAAGCAACAACTTGCATTTAGAGGGAGAGAAGCGCATCCCAAACATTCTGGCATTGTTGCTTAGTGCTACCAGAAGACTCTGCATTTTGTCAGCGTCTTCACCAAACAGGACTATGTCATCTGCGTATTCTAAGTCGATAAGTGGACCTCCTGGAAGGAGATCAACACCCGAGAATTCAGTCG